CGAAACATATTTGGTCTTTTAAAATTTGCGCTTTTTCGATTTTGTATTTTTTCGAATTTTCAGTTTCTCAATTTTTGATTTTGAATTTTTCGTTTGTTTAATTTTTCAAGTTCTAGATTTCCAATTTTTAGATTTTTCAACGTTTACATTTTATAGTTCTTCGTATTTTCATTTTGGATTTTTTCAGTTTTACAGTTTTGTAATTTTTCCATTTCTTTTTCGAAAAGTTGAAAAATTAAAAAATTAGAAATCGAAACACCAAAAAACCTAAAGATTGTAAAATCGAAAAATTATAATAAACGGTTAAAATTGTAAAGTCGAAAAACTGAAAAATTGAAAAATTAAATATCGAAAAATTGAAGAATTAAAAATCGAATAAATCAAAAAATTTTAAAATGCAGTAATTGAAAAATGGAAAAATTCTAGTTTTTACAGAACAATTCTTTGCTGTCTCAATTTTTCGATTTTCCTTTTTCTGCAATTTTACAATTTTTTATATCAAAATTTTCTTTTTTCATTTTCTTTAATTTTTCCATTTTTCAATATTTCGATTTCGTAATTTTTCGTTTTTGCGACTTTAATTTTTCCAATTTTTCAAATTTTCGACTTCTAGATTTTTCAATTTCTTGTTATTTCAATTTTTCGATTTGTAATTGTTCTATTTTACAATTTTTCGATTTTACAGTTTTTCATTTTCGATTTTTTAGTTTGTGAATTTTTAATTTTTTGATTCTTCAATGTTTCGTCTCCCCAATTTTTCAAATTCAATGTTTCGTTTTTTCATTTTCTTTGTTTTCTCAAGGTTTCTTTTGAGTTTAAAATTTTCCGTTCAGTCAATTTTTCAAATTTTCAATCCTTGATTTTTCAGTTCCTCGAGTTCTTTAAGTTTTGTAATTTTATAATTTTTGGATTTCCCGTTCTTCGATTTTCCGATTTCTTTGATTTTCGATTGTACCATACATATTTCGTTTTTGTCGATTTTGCGCTTTTTTAATTTTGAACTTTTTCGGTTTTTATGTTTCAATTTTTAATCTTACGATTTTTGAATTTTTCGTTTGTTCAATTTTTCAACGTTTTCATTTTATACTTCTTCGTTTTTTAATTTTTGATTTTTTCAATTTTACAATTTTCTAATTTTTCCATTTTTTTTATTCGAAAAGTTGAAAATTAAAAAAAATAGAAATCGAAAAACTGAAAAACCTAAAAATTGTAAAATTGAAAAATTATAATAAAACTGTAAAGTCGAAAAACTAAAAAATTGAATAATTAAATATCGAAAAATCTAAAAATTAAAAATCGAATAAATGAAAAAGTTTTAAAATTCAATAATTAAAAAATAGAAAAATTCTAGAATGGAAGAAGTGAATAATTTTGAAAATCAATTATTATTACATATTTAAATTGAAAAAAGGAGAAATTGAAAACTGAAGAAAATTTATAAATTTGGAAAACTGAAAAACCAAAAATTTTGAAAAAATAGGGAAAATAAAAAACTGGAACGAAAAATGGCAAATCGAAAAGTTGTAAAATACAAAATTCAAAACTAGTGAAATTGCAAATTCACTGAACAAAGTCAAAAAATGAAAAATTAAAAAATTAAAAATCGAAAAATCGAAAAATTAAAAAATCCAAAAACTGAAAAATTTCACATTGAAAAAAAAAAGTAAAGCTGTAAAATTAAAAACCGAAAAATTGAAAAAATAAGGAAAATAAAAGATCTAAACGAAAAATTGCAATTCGAAAAAAATGAAGAAATGAAAAATTGAACAATTAAAATCTGAAAACTCGTCAAATCTAAAAATTGAAACGTCCAACGGTTGGAAAATCGAAAAACTGAAAAATTTAAAAATGGAAACTTGAAGAGTTGTATGTCATAAAATTGAACAAAAAAAAATAAAAAGAAAAACTGCAAAAACCAAAGATTATAATATTGGAGCACTGAAAAATAAAAAAAAAAATTAAAATAAAGAAAAAGTGGAATATTTGAAAAATCATTACTTTTATTAACCATTGAAAACTTGAAAAAATCGAAGAAACGAAAAATTGAAAAATCATTAAACTGAAAAATCTAAAATTGAAAATCGGAAGATTAAAAAATCTAAAAGTTGAAAAATTGAAACAATGATATCCGAAATATTGTAAATCGAAAAATTGAAAGATCCAAAAATTGAAAAAATTACATTGAAAAAAGAAAATTTATAAAAACGGAAAACTGAAAAACCGAAAATTTTGAAAAAATAGGGAAAATAAAAAACGGAAACGAAAAATGGCAAATCGAAAAGTCGAAAAATACAAAATTCAAAACTCGTGAAATTACAGATTCACTGAATAAAGTCAAAAACTGAAAAATTGAAAAATTAAATGAACAAATTTTAAATTGAAAAATGGAAAAATTCTAAATTGAAGAAATGAAGAATTTTAAAAACCATGTCATTATTATTGCATATTACAAATGAAAAAAAAAATATGGAAAATCAAAAATTGAAGTAACGAAAAACGAAAAATCGAAAATTCAAGAAACTGAAAAATCTAAAATTGAATAAACAAAAACATAAAAAATCTAAACTTGGAAAGTCGAAAAATTGAAGAATGAAGAATTGCAAATTGGAAAATTAAAAAATCCTAGAACTGAACAATTTCACATTAAAAAAAAGAAAAGAACATTGAAGAAATAAAGAAAAGAAAAGACCAAAACGAAAAATTGAAAAAATGAAAAACTGAACAACTAATATTTGAAAGCTAAAAATGCAAACGTCCAAAGCAGGAAAATCGAAAAACTGAAAAAATTAAAAATGGAAACTCGACAAGTTGCATGTCATAAAATTGAAGAAAGAAAAAAAAAGAAAAATTGAAAAAACAGAAAATATAATATTGGAACATTGAAAATCAAAAAAATTTAAAAATAAAGAAAAAGTGGAATATTTTAAAAATTATTACTATTATTACATATTTAAAATGAAAACAATGTAGAAAAGTTGCAAATCAAAAATCGAAGAAACGAAAAACTGAAAAATCATTAAACTGAAAAACCTAGAATTGAACATTGAAATCCAAAATATTGTAAATCAAAAAATTGAAAGATTTAAAAATTAAAAAAACTCACATTGAAAAACCGAAAATTTGAAAAAATAAAGAAAATAAAAACCGAATTAAAAATTGAAAAGTCAAGAAACTCAAATAGAAAAATTACAAAATCAAAAAACTGAAACATCGAAAAGTTGAAAAATCCAAAAACTGAAAAATGAAAAGAGTTGCATGTTGCAAAATTGAAAAAACAAAGAAAAATAAAAAATTGAAAGAAATGAAAATTAAAGGAACGAAAAATTAGAGAAACGAAAAATGAAAGAAGCGGAAAATTGAAGAAATAAAAATTGAAGAAACGAAAAATGAAAGAAAACAAAGAATTGAAGAAACGAAAAATTAAGGAAACGAAAAATTGAAAAAGTTGGAAGTGAGAAAAATTGCCAATCGAAGAAATGAAAAAAAAAGAATCGACAAATTGAAAAATTAAAAATTAAAAAGCCGAGAAATTCAAGTTGGAAAATTCCAAAATTTAAACACTGAAGAAACAAGTTTGGTTTGAAGAAACGAAAATTATAACATCGAAAAACTGAAAAATCGAGTAATTGAAGAAATGAAGAAAATAAAAAATCGAAACCAAAAACTGAAAATGAAAATTGGAAAGTTAAAAAATGAAAATTTAGAAACTCAAAGGAAAAAATTACAAAATCAAAAAACTGAAACATCGAAAAGTTGAAAAATCCAAAAACTGAAAAATGAAAACTTGAAGAGTCGCATGTTGCAAAATTGAAAAAACAAAAAAAATGAAAAATTGAATAATTGCAAATCGAAAAATTGAAGAAATGAAAATTAAAGAAACGAAAAATTAGAGAAACGAAAAATGAAATAAACGGAAAATTGAAGAATCAAAAAATTGAAGAAACGAAAAATGAAAGAAACAAAGAATTGAAGAAACGAACAATTAAGGAAACGAAAAATTAAAGAAACGAAAAATTGAAAAAGTTGGAATTGAGAAAAATTGCCAATCGAAGAAATGAAAAAGTAAAGAATCGACAAATTGAAAAATTAAAAATTAAAAAACCGAGAAACTCAAGTTGAAAAATTCCAAAATTTAAACACTGAAGAAACAAGTTTGGATTTGAAAAAACGAAAATTATAAAATCGAAAAATTGAAAAATCGAGTAAGTGAAGAAATTAAGAAAAGTAGAAATGAAAAATTGAGAAAACGAAAAATTGAAGAAACGAAAAATTAAATCAACGAGAAATTGAAGAAACGAAAAATTAAAGAAACGAAAAATTGAAGAAACGAAACATTAAGGAAATGAAAAATTGAAGAAACGAAATACTAAAGAAATGAAAAACTGAAGAAACTAAATAAACATTGAAAAAATTGGAATTGAGAAGAATTGCCAATCGAAAATCTCAAGAAATTAAAAAATAAATAATCGAAAGATTGAAAAATAAAAATTGAAAACTTGAAAAATTTTAATCAAAAAATTCAAAATCTGAAAATTGGAGAAAAAAGTTGTAAAATTGAAAAAAGAAGAACTATAAATATGAAACATTGGAAAATCGTATATAAAAAAAAATAATGAAAACAAAAAACCGAAACGGAAAATTGCAAATCAGAAAATTCAATAATTAAAAATTGAAATATCGAGAAAAGTTGCAAAATCTAAAATTTGAAAAATTCCAAAGTTGGACAATTGAAAACCTGAAAAATTTTAACTTAAAAACTCGAGAAATTGCAAATCGAAAAACTGAATAAACAAAAAAAAAGTCAAAAAACTACAGAACTGTAATTTACGCCGCTGCTTTTCACTTTATAGAGGTTATCAAACAACAAACCACCCAAACAATTTTAATAAATTCTCAAACAAGCAGCACTTATCGGACCACACTTCCCTGCCTCGCCAACTTTTACCGACCTACCCCTCGCCCAATTTTATCTCGCTAAATCCAACATATGTCGTACGAACCTGTGGTCCGGCCCTGGCCCCAGCTTCCTGTACATAACCGGCGGATTATTGGGATTTTGCGCCTTCAGAACTTCTTGAACCCTGACGAGTCCGTCGTCGCTCTCGTAGATGATCGTATAACTTTTCCAGTCGTTTTCGCGGACCAGCGTTTCGAACGCTCTCGAGAGGGTCTTCGGGCTCGGGTATAAGTTGAAGTTAAACACTTCGTGCGTCCTCATTGGCTTGTCAGATTTCGCCAAGTCGGAAAATGTGGCGAAATTAGGATTCCAGAATGTTTGAAATTGCGGAATTTCGAGGATTAAGGATACTGATTGAATTATCTCATTAGCTTCGGCTTGTTCGGGCCCGAAAATTGCCGCGACGCCCTTTTCTAGCATTCCGCAAGCTGGTGGAAAGAGAACTTGCTTACTGAACAGACAAACACACGGAAAAATTTTCTATGTACATGAAAACATTATTAAGAACCGGTGTTTGGGTAATACAAAGACGTGGCTTTAATATCGAGATCGCTGCAGCTCCTTTGTTCCGGGGAAGTTTAAATAGAGTTGAGCTGGAGGCAAAACGATAGGAAAATACATTCAGTTCGTTATCAACTGGAAATTAAAATCTGTCTCGCTTTTCAGACGAAGTTTTAGTTTTTTTGTCTTACCGATATTCCCCACTTCGGAGATTTCGTTTCTCTTAATTTTGTAGATCAAAGGGTTGAGGAAGTATTGGGTGGCGGCGTAATAATTGATAAAGTTTGCAGAACTTTTAATGGCGAGTTCATCTAGAGGCTCGTCCTCGTCGATGAAGAACGCTGCAAAAATTATTGAAACAGCTACAACGACTAAAATTTTAACGAACTCACCTACGTTGATTTGTTTCGTCTTGTATGCTGCAGTTATAACTGGTAAAACTACGAGTAGTAAAAACAGTCCGCTTGAATATTTTACGTTTGAATACGGAATAAAATTCCACGAGAAAATAAACAAACACTTCATTACTGCGTTATTGTTGTTTACATTTTCCACTTCTTGGATATGTTTACGGACGCTTACTCCGACTCGAAGAAGTGATTTGGATTCAAGTCGAGCTTCGACGCTGATGCTCTATTTATAACTAATTTATTTTGGCTGCGTGTCTACGATAAACTCTTAAGTTATAGATAGACTTTATGATGTATGGTGGCTATTCGACGCTAACAATGCCTTTATTCGCCTTTAAAACAAATAAGATACAAATATTGACAACGCGAACGCTTGTATAAAACCCGGAAGTTTTTGCCTCAAGGTTTCAATTTCCCGGATTTTTTCCCGCTGATATTTTAGCAGTTCTGACGTTTGTTATCCTTTGATGTTATTCCTAGCTGGAGCTCCATATTTATTTGAGGGGTTCTATATTTCTTGTTGTTACACTCGGAGTTATGAACTGTTGAACTTTGGAATCAGACTTCTAGAAGACCGAGTTTCTTGTGTACACTGTGATTTCGATAGTGAGATTCTCTTTTGAAATCAACGTTGTTGCTAAAGTTGGCGAAAGCTCGATTGAGGACCTTCAGTAATTTTACTGAAGAACGTGTAAAAGAGTGACCCGTGTGTTACACAATGTTAATATATGTTCCATAAACATGTGTTTGTTTATTTTACAACTTTGGATCAGCTTTACATCCTGACTAACAATACATTTCACGTGTATTAATCCAATTCGGGTTTTGACTTTAACAATATTGATTAATTGGTAGCCAGGTTATTGTTTCTATTATTGTCTAATACGTTGCGGTTTACTCAAACGTGCATAGGTGGATCCTGGCCTAGGGCTAAATCAATGTTTAAACGTCACGTGGTTTCGGGCTAACCTACCAATCATAACTAGCCACTAATTTTAAAAAAGTGGTGCTACAATAACGTATTTCATCACTAAATCTTCCTCATATTCACTGCCACTCTGGTTTTGATTTACGATTTTATTTGATGTGAACTATTCATTCTCGTGTCAGTGTGAAACATTAAAGTGACACTAGAATTACAACTGCGAATATTTAATTCACTTTATTAAAATATTTGCTAGCAAATTTCATATAGTTTGTGGTTGTTGAATAATCATTAATAATAAAATAACGCTACGATAGTCAATATGCGGTTTATTGTATGACGAGTATGATAAACAATGTTTCATGATGCTTGAACTTTGAAAAAATATATTGTTTCCACTGCTGTACTTGTGGTTTATGAATCCGGCTTGTATTTTTAAACACATAGTTTTTGTATTGAGGTTGTTTATGTCAGAAAACTGATATCTAATCTCCTCTGCTACTCAATCAAATCAGTGTGTTAATCAAGTTACGGAACTAAATTAGGATAAATCAATTTGGGTTCGTCTAACTTTAATCACATGGGCTGTGGCACCTGAGAGCTTTAATTATTCTTTTTTTGTTCGAACAACGTTAGATAGATAGAAGTTTGTAAAAATTCGGGTAACAAATCTTTTACATCGAGATTTCAAATTTACCAGATTTTTTAAATTTAAATCAGGGAGAATTGTTGTCTAATATAAATAATCCGTCTGTGTTAAACTAACGATAGTAGTTATATAGTGGGGGTTCTAGTTCACTTATTGCCGCAAAAAATGCCTCGGCCCGAGTTTGCGCATGAATTTAAGATTTTTAGGCAAACAAGGATTTTGCAATTAAGCTCCGCCCCTCTTGCTGACAACGAACAAAGAAAAATCGTCAGAAATGAGACAGGGTGGGTGGGCGGGGCTTATAATTCTTCTTTTTTTTTTCTTTTTAATGTACATATTCTTCATAACAAGAGACTAGGGACATGTTCAAAGTGGCAAATTTTAACCTCCGCACTTCTCCACAAGTTTGACATTTCAAGTTTTCAGTTTCTTGTTGTGAACAAAAAACTACGTACATATATTAAGAAACAAAGGCAAAATATAAACCCCGCCCACCCACCCTCATCTCGATTGTGATGATTTTTACATTCGTCGTGAGTCGAGGGGCGGAGCTTAACTGCAAAATGCTTATTTCTCTACAATAAACACCATGTAAAATATGTTTTTAAGTACGAATACAATTTTCCACTTAGAGAAATTTTAAAAAGAAGCCCCACCCACCCACCCATACTCCGCCTTCATATATTGCTCTCTGGCGCTAAAATTAATTATCTTTTGGCTTTTTTTTACTTAATACATTTAGCTTACTTCGAACAACACAATTACTCAAGAACTTGATTCACATTGCAATTTCTAGTAGGAGAACAAGAATTTTGTAATTAAGCTCCGCCCCCTTGCTCACGATCAACAAAGAAAAATCGTCACAATTGAGACAGGGCGGGTGGGCGAGGCTTATGATTTTTCTTTCTTTTTTCTTGTTAATGTACTTAGTATTAATAACAAGAGACTGAAAACATGTTTAAAATTATACATTTTAACCTCCACATTTCTCTACAAACTTGTTATTTTAAACAAGTTTTCCGTTTCTTGTCGTGAAAAGAAAACTACGTAAATATATTAAGAAAAATAGGCAAAATATAAACCCCGCCCACCCGCCCATCTCAATTGTAATGATCTTTTTTATTCATTGTCAGTCTAGAGGTGGAGCTTAATTGCAAAATGCTTATTTCTTTACAATAAACACCATGTAAAACATGTTTTTAAGTATGATGTTGAAAGAAAGTTATATATGCTATGGAAAAAAAAAAGGTAAAAATAGCAAAACTCAGTAGAACTTTATAAATATACATCGCAAAAAAAGGACAAATTACTTAATAAAACGAACTCAACTTTGTCAAAAAGATTGCGAAAGCTACAATTATTCCCAAAAGAAAAAATTTCATGTGGCCCAGAGCCTACATTTTATAACCGCTAACTAGGAATAGCATTTTCCACACAGAGAAAGTTTAATGAGTTGCCCCGCCCACCCACCCAAACTCCGCCTTAATATATTGCTCATTGGTGCTAAAATGCATCTTTTGTCTTTCTTTTAAATGAATACATTTAGTGTTATTTGAACAACTCGATTACATAAGAACATATTTCACATTGTAATTTCTCCTAGAGAAATAGGAATTTTGCAGTTAAGCTCCGCCCCATGTACTGACAACGAACAATGAAAAATCGTCACAATTGAGACAGGGTGGGTGGGCGGGGCTTATGATTTTTCTTTGTTTTTGCTTCTTAATGCACTCATTCTTTATAACAATAGACTGAAAGCATGTTTGAAATGGTAAATTTTAACCTCCACATTTCTCTACATATTTGCCATTTTAAACAAGTTTTCCGATTCTTGTCGTGAACAGAAAACTACGTACATATATTAAGAAAAACAGGCAAAATATAAACCCCGCCCACGCGCCCTCGTCTCAATTGTAATGATCTTTTTTATTCGTCGTGTGACTAGAGGCGGAGCTTAACTGCAAAATGGTTATTCTCCTACAATAAACACCATGTAAAACATGTTTTTAAGTATGATGTAAGAAAATTATATATGTTAAGAAAAAAAAAAAATAAAAAAATGGCAAAACTCATTGGAAATTTATAAATTTACATCACAGAAAAAGGAAGAAATTAAGAAGGTTTGATGAGTAGCCCCGCCTTAATATATCGCTCATTTGCGCTAAAAATAAATGTGGAATTGACTTCTGCAAATAGCACAACTCAGTTGGATCTTACAAATTTACATCACAGAAAAGTACAAAGTTGCCTAATAAAACTGACTCACATTTGTTAAAAAGATAGCGAAAGCTACAATTATTTCCAAAAGTAGAAATTTCATGTGGCCCAGAACCTACACTATATAACCGCTGACTACGAATAGCATTGTCCACATAGAGAAATTATAAAAAGTTGCCCCGCCCACCCACCCAAACTCCACCTTAATATATTGCTCATTGGCGCCAAACTTAATTGCGGAATTAATTATTTTTGGTTTTTGTTTTTTACTTAGTACATTTAGTTTTCTTTCAACAAATTAAGAACATGTTTCACATGGTAATTTCTGTGAGAAAAATAGGAATTTTGTAATTAAGCTCCGCTCCTCTTGTTTACGACGAACAAAAAAAAATCGTCACAATTGAGACCGGGCGGGTGGGCGGGGCTTATAATTTTTTCTTCATAACAAGAAACTGAAAGCATTTTTAAAATGGTAAATTTTAACCTCCACGTTTCTCTACAAATTGAAAATTTTAAACAATTTTTCAGTTTCTTGTCGTGAATAGAAAATTACGTACATATATTAAGAAAAACAGGCAAAATATAAACCCCGCCCACCCACCCTCATCTCAATTTTGATGACTATTTTTATTCGTCGTGAGTCGAGAGGCGGAGCTTAATTGAAAATGCTTATTTCTCTGCAATAAACACCATGTAAAACATGTTTTTAAGCATGATGTTGAAATAAAATCATGTATGTTAAGAACAAAAAAAATTAAAAAGGGCAAAATTCAGCACAGAAAAAGGACGAAATTACTTAATAAAACGAACTCAACCTTGTCAAAAAGATTGCGAAAACTGCAATTATTCCAAAAAGAAGAAATTTTCTGTGAGCCAGAGCCTAAACCGCTGATTATGAATAGAATTTTTCACATAGCGAAGTTTAAAGCGGTGCCCCGCCCACCCACACAAACTCCGCCTTAGTATATTGCTCATTGGCGCTAAAATTAGTTGCGGAATTAATTATCTTTTGCCTTTCTTTTTTTACATTTAGTTTTCTTTGAACAACAAGATTACTTAAGAACATGTTTCACATAGTAATTTGTCGTAGAAAAATAGGGATTTTTCAGTTAAGCTCCGCGCCTCTTGCTTACGACGAACAAAGAAAAAAAGCCACAATGGAGACCGGGCGGGTGGGCGGCGCTTATAATTTTTCTTTATTTCCCTTCTTAATGCACATATTCTTCATAACAAGAGACTGAAAACATCTTTAAAATGGTAAATATTAACCTCCGCGTTTCTCTACAAATTGGCAATTTATACAAGTGTTCAGTTTCTTGTCGTGAATAGAAAATTACGTACATTAATTAAGAAAAACAGGCAAAATATAAACCCCGCCCACCCGCCCTCGTCTCAATTGTAAAGATCTTTTTCATTCGTCGTTAGACTAGAGGCGGAGCTTAAGTACAAAATGCTTATTCCTCGACAATAAACACCAGGCAAAACATGTTTTTAAGCTGATGTTGAAAGAAAATCATGTATCTTAAGAACAAAAAAAATTAAAAATAGCAAAATTCAGTGAAACTTTAACAATTTACATCACAGAAAAAAGACGAAATTACTTAATAAAACGAACTCAACTTTGTCAAAAAGCTACAATTATTCCGAAAAGAAGAAATTTCATGTGACCCAAAGCCTAAACCGCTAATTACGAATAGAATTTTTCACATAGAGAAGTTTAAAGCGATGCCCCGCCCACCCACCCAAACTCCACCTAAGTACATTGCTCATTGGCGCTAAAATTAATTGCGGAATTAATTATCTTTTGCCGTTCTTTTTTTGCATTTAGTTTTCTTTGAACAACACTATTACCTAAGAACATGTTTCACATGGTAATTTGTCGTAGAAAAATAGGGATTTTTCAGTTAAGCTCCGCCCCTCTTGCTTACGATGAACAAAGAAAAATCGTCACAATTGAGACCGGGCGGGTGGGCGGGGCTTATAATTTTTCTTTTTTTTCCCTTCTTAATGCACATATTTTTCATAACAAGAGACTGAAAGCATCTTTAAAATGGTAAATTTTAACCTCCGCGTTTCTCTACAAATTGGCAATTTTAAACAAGTTTTCAGTTTCTTGTCCTGAATAGAAAATTACGTACATATATTAAGAAAAACAGGCAAAATATAAACCCCGCCCGCCCGCCCTCGTCGCAATTGTAATGATTTTTTTATTCGTCGTGAGTCGAGAGGCGGAGCTTAATTGCAAAATGCTTATTCCTCTACAATAAACACCATGTAAAACGTGTTTTTAAGTATGATGTTGCAAGAAAATAATATATGTTAAGAAAAAAAAAATAACAAAACTCACTGCAAATTTATAAATTTACATCACAGAAAAAGGAAGAAATTAAGAAGGATTGGTGAGTAGCCCCGCCCACCGAAGCTCCGCCTTAATATATCGCTCATTAGCGCTAAAAATAAATGCGGAATTGACTTCTGCAAATAGCAAAACTCAGTTGGTTCTTATAAATTTACATCACAGAAAATTACCAAGTTGCCTAATAAAACTGACTCACGTTTGTTAAAAAAATAGCGAAAGCTACAATTACTCCCAAAAGATGAAATTTCATGTGGTCCAGAGCCCACACTATATAACCGCTGACTACGAATAGAGAAATTGTAAAAAGTTGCCCCGCCTCCCACCCAAACTCCGCCTTAATATATTGCTCATTGGCGCTAAACTTAATTGCGGAATTAATTATCTTTTGGTTTGCTGTTTTACTTAATACATTTAGTTTTCTTTCAACAACTTAAGAACATGTATCACATGGTAATTTTTCGTAGAAAAATAGGAATTTTGCAATTAAGCTCCGCCCCTCTTGCTTACGACGAACAAAGAAAAATCGTCACAACTGAGACCGGGCGGGTGGGCGGGGCTTATAATTTTTCTTTGTTTTTTTGCTTCTTAATATACATATTCTTCGTAATAAGAGACTGAAAACATGTTTAAAATAGTAAATTTTAATCTCCACATTTCCCTACAAATTTGCCATTTTAAACAAGTTTTCAGTTCCTTGTCGTGAATAGAAAACTATGTACATATATTAACAAACAAAGGCAAAATATAAACCCCGCCCACCCACCCTCATCTCAATTGTGATGATTATTTTATTCGCCGTGAGTCGAGAGGCGGAGCTTAACTGCAAAATGCTTATTTCTCTACAATAAACACCATATATAAAAGATGCATTTATGTATGATGTTGAAAGAAAATTATGTTAAGCTTAAAAAAAAGTCAAAAATAGCAAAACTTAGTGAAACTTTAATTAAGCTCCGCCCCTCTTGCTGACAGCGAACAAAGAAAAATCGTCACAACTGAGACCGGGCGGGTGGGCGGGGCTTATAATTTTTCTTTTTTTTTCTCAATATACATATACTTCATAACAAGCGACTAGGAACATGTTCAAAATGGCAAATTTTAACATCCACATTTCTCTACGAATTTGCCATTTTAAACAAGTTTTCAGTTTCTTGTGAATAGAAAACTACGGACACATTCAGAAAAAGAGGCTAAATATAAACCCCGCCCACCCGCCCTCAACTGAATTGTAATGACTTTTTTATTCGTCGTGAGTCGAGAGGCGGAGCTTAATTGCAAAATTCTTATTTTTCTACAATAAACGCTATGTAAAACATGCTTTTTGGTATGATGTTGAAAGAAAATTATATATGTTAAGAAAACAAAAGTTAAAAATAGCAAAACTCCACATAGAGAAAGTTTCAAGAGATGCCCCGTGCAGCCAAACTCCGCCTCATTGGCGCTAAAATTAAACGTGAAATTGACGTTTCCTAATAACACAATTCAGTAGGCCAAATTATTCCCAAAATATGAAATTACTTGGATACTCCACCTACCCATACAAGCTCCGCCTTGATATATGATCCACCCTATTCCTAAGAAAAGTGTTACCATAAGCTTGAACAAATTTAGCATCGAAAGGAAACTTACTAAGAAAGAAGTTCGGAAATGTTATAAAACATGAAACGATTTATCCAAAGACTGGCAATTTTTAATCTTAAGTAGGACACGCCTCTGATTTTTCATCAAATATCCTCATCTAATCAAAAAAATGTCACCACCGTCGTCATAGAAACATCGTATATGACCGCGGGTAAAACCTAAAAATCTCGTGAAAATACATAGTCACAGTACAACTAAACACTTTCTCGAATCTCGACCCCACTTTTTTTCTCCTAAAAAAACACAACTCCAGCAACCACTCCAAAGAATCTGTTTCCAACTCCCGCCCTCTCCCCATTCATCAAAACATGTGCAGACTTCCTGCAACTCCTGCGATACCAAAAGCCATCCATTAAACCCGCCAAACCGAAAAACTTTGAAACCCGCCGCATCTTCCCCGAAACCCTCCGGCGAAAAAAGCGCAGACCCTTTGAAAAAAAATCCACATTCCCCCGCGCCCCCCGTTCCGGTAATTTTTGGTGTCGATCTGATTTTTCACATCGCTTCGTCTTTATCGTCCGAGCGTCCTCGCGCGCCGACTCCGGTGCTCCGGAGGCTGGGAGTAAAATCCCGGCTGCAGTGAGGGTTGCGGGTCGGCAGGAGCAACTCAATAACGTCCGCGTCGATATCGTTTCGAGTTTCTGTGCTGTCCACATATTTACATCAAACGGTCACTGAAGAAGTGCAGGTAGGTGGCAGAAACACGTTGTGATACTTCGAGGGGAAAGTCGGGCTCGCTGCGCTCGCCTGCGGGGGGGTTTTGGTCGATGGGTTCGGGTTTTGGTTTTCTGGATGGTTGGCCCGAATGGAAAAGAAGTGTCCGGAAGTAGGCGGGTGGTTGTTATGGAGAATTCGGGATGTTTGGGGGAGTGCGAGAGGGTTATGTAAAAGCATGGCTGGGTGGTTGTTGGAGTTTTGGGGCGAAATGTGAATTGGATGAGTTGTGTGGTGGGTTTTTTGGGGTGGAATTGATGTAGATGTGTCGGATTTGTCTAGTATTACGAAGTTTTATCGACTTTATGATAATCACGTAAGTAAGATAGGTAAAGGAACTTTTTAAATCTATCGCTTCTTGAAATTCGTGCAAAGTTTGCGGCGCTGAGACGGTTTTTGCATACTATTTTTACGTGGGGGTTCATCTTGCACTTTAGAATGTAATTAAAGATAGTGCTGGCTTTGACGTCGAAATTGCTGGCAATTTTCGTCTTAATTAAACGACCGAAGAGTTAAAAACCGAAAGGCGGACGTGGAAAAAGTTTCGCTTTATTTTTAGTTTTAGTTAATTTAAAATTCGTGTTGTCTTTTACCTTCCACAAAAGAAATTATAATTGTTTATCATTTTAATTAATAATTTTAGTAATAAATGGGTGTTTTTAAAGAAAAAAAAAAAAGACGTTACAAAATTTAGAACAACAATAACACGAATTTATTATCAAGTAAACGTAGCTTGTTTGCTATTTAGAGACCAAAGTTCACCTTGTAATCATCCTCTTTGTGGAAAATTTTATTCATAGTCAGTAGTTACTTAGTATAGGTTCTGACTCATATGAAATTTCTTCTTTTGCTAATATTTGTAGCTTTCGCAACTTTTTTAACAACGGCGTGTTCGTTCTATTAAGCAAGTCTAAAAAATCCAGCTTGTTTGAAAAGTAATAAAATTAGATTGTCCGACGGGAAAAATCGCTTCTCAGCAGTAATAACAAGCTTTAACTTCAAGTGTTTCTTTACACATCGGAAGAATGTCACGTGGAAATTTGTTTGATTTGAATGATTTTATGGCCTCAAAACAGAGGACTAAAATTATTAATTACGCCACAGTCGAACAGAATGTTTTGAATATTATATTTTTACAATTTTTACTCATTAAAGACATACAAATTCTCACCTTTTCGGGAAAATAGGGTGACTGGTTTTTAATTTAAGCAAAAAAAAATTTGTTATGACGTCATAAAGATAGGTAACACAGAGTGAGGGAAAAAAGAAATCGCATGACCACGGACAGTTTTACCCTGAATTAGTGGTGAAATGTGATAATTTTTTGTAAACATTTATCCGTTTAGGAAAAATACTCAAACTGGATTCGTACACCACAAGTGTAGGAGTATATTATTGTATAACATATAACATCATTTTTTAATAGGATACGTTCAAATTGTTGGTGGGGATGATTAACCAAATTTTGTTGGCGTTTTACCTTATATATGATATTCTAAATATACATATAAAATTTGACAATAATCAGTCCAGTAGTTTCCGAAATTGGGTGACTAATAAAAATCGACACAGATGCTAGACAGACATATAGACAAACGGAAACGGGAGACTATTTTTTCGTACTCTAGGGGTCATGAAACGTCGAGAAAACATAAAAGTGGCTATTCGTCCGATGTACTCGATTACTACATTTCCTTAAGTTACACTCAGGAAGTAAAAAGATAGTAAAAAAGGACCACCTTAAAAATATTGCAATAAAGTTATAAAAAAAATCGACAAAAATGTCACAAAAAAAAGGCTACAACAAACCCACAAAAACAATGCTACATAAAAGGTGATAATAAAAATTCAACGAAAAAAGGGAGTAAAAAGTAACAAATTAAAACCAACATAAAAGCGACAAAAAGGAGACAAAAAATACATTGAAAAAAAGAGGTAAAAAACTGGTCAAAACGAAGTGAAATCGAAGTCAAAGAGGGCGAAAAAACCTCGAAAAATTGACAAAAAATAAAAAATACGAGGAAAAAAGAGAGTAAAAAAGGGGCAAAACAAAGTAAAAAAAGCGAAAAAACGGCGAAAAAATTGTATTAAAAAAACAGGGGAAACAAAGAAGGCAAAAAAGACGTGAAAAGGGGGTCAAACGAGGGCGAAAAAACTCGAAAAACTGACATAAAAAATAAAAAATTTGACGAAAAAAGGAGTACAAAAGCGACAAAACAAAGGCAGAAGAATGCGACAAAAAGGCGAAAAAAATCTACTGAAAAAAGGGGGAACAAAAAAGCCAAAATAGGATATGAAAAGGAGGAGAAAAAACCCCGAAAAAGTGACAAAACAAAGATTCATAAGAAAAAAGGACAACAAAGAAGGCAAAAAAACGTAGTGAAAAGGGAGTCAAAACAGAGTGAAAAAAACCTTCAAAAAGAGAAAAAAATCATAAATCCTTCGAAAAAAGGGAGTAAAAAAGCGACAAAATAAAGCCAATAGAAAAACGACAAAAAAGGGAAAAAATCGCATTGGAAAAAAGGTGGAACAAAGAAGAAAAAAAAAACGAATGGGAAAGGGCACCAAAAAGGGACGAAAAAGCCTCGAAAAAATGACATAAAAAATAAAAAATGCCATGAAAAAGGCAGAAAAAGGGAACAAAACAAAACCAAAAAAAGCGACAATAAAAGGCGAAAAATTTACATTGAAAAAAAAAGGAAGAAAGATAATCATTTAATTGATTTAATTGATTTATCCAACGGGCATAGCCCACATAGGTAATACAACGAAAAGAAAAAACAAAACAAAAAAAAATCCTAATACAATAATACAATAAAGATGCGAAAAGGGGGTTAAAAAAATGGGAAAACCTAGAAAAAATGACATAAACAACAAAAAATCCGTCGAAAAATGGAGTAAAAAAGCGTGAAAACAAAGCCAAAATGAAAGCGAAAAAAAAAGGAAAAAAAATTGCATTAAAAAAAAAGCGGGAACAAAGAAAGCAAAAAAAAAAAAACGTAAAAAAGTTGTCAAAAAAGGGAGTAAAAGCCTAGAAAAAGTGACATTAAAAATAAAAAATCTGAAGAAAAATGGAGTAAAAAGCGACAAAAAGGCCAAAAAATTGAATTAAAAAAAAGGGAGGAATAAAAAAGGCAAAAAAGACATGAAAAGGGTATTACAAAAAGGACGAAAAAAGTGACATAAAAAATAAAAAATCCGAGGCAAAAAGGGACTAAAAAAGCGACAAAACAAAGCCGGAAGTAACGCGACAAGAAGGCGAAAAAATTACATTGAAAAAAAGGGCGAAACAAAGAAGCCAAAAAAAGAATATGAAAAGGGGGTGAAAAAGAGAGAAAAAAAAACTCGAAAAAGTGACACAAAAAATAAACAAGTCGAGGAAAAAACGGCGTAAAAAAGTAATGAAACGGCAAAAAATTACTTTTAAAAAAGGGGAAGAAAGAAGGCAAAAAAAAACGATGTGAAAAGGGGGTCAAAAAAAGGTGAGAAAAAATCCAAAAAGTGACATAAAAACTCAAAAATTCTTTGAAAAAAAGGGAGTGAAAAAGCAACAAAACAAAACTCATAGAAAAGCAAGTGACATAAAAAATGAAAATGTGGCGAAAAATGGAGTAAAAAAAGGGAGAAAACAAAGCCAAAAGAAAAGCGAAAAAAGAAAAGGAAAAAATTGCATAAAAAAAAAACGGCCGGAAACAAAGAAAGCAAAAAAAACAGGGAAAAAGTTGTCAAAAAAGAGAGTAAAAACCTAGAAAAAGTAGCATAAAAAATAAAAAATCCGAAGAAAAAATGGAGTAAAAAAAGCGAAAAAATTGCTTTAAAAAAAAAGGGGGAATAAATAAGGCAAAAAAGACGTGAAAAGGGAATCACAAAAAGGGCGAAAAAATTCGAAAGTGACATAAAAAATGAAAAATCCGAGGAAAAAGGGACTAAAAAAGCGACAAATCCGAGGAAAAAAGGGACTAAAAAAGCGACAAAACAAAGCCGGAAGTAACGCGACAAGAAGGCGAAAAAATTACATCGAAAAAAGGGCGAACAAAGAAGCCAAAAAAAGGATATGAAAACGGGGTGAAAAAGAGAGAAAAAACTGGAAAAAGTGACCCAAAATATAAAAAATTCGACGAAAAAAAGGGAGTAAAAAAGTAATGAAAAGGCGAAAAATTACATTTAAAAAAGAGGAAGAAAGAAGGCAGGAAAAAACGGTGAGAAAAAATACAAAAATGTGACAAAAAATCAAAAATTCTTTGAAAAAATGGAGTAAAAAAGCGACAAAACAAAACTCATAGAAAAGGGACAAAAAGTGAAAAAAACGGCATTGAAAGAAAGGGGGAACAAACAAGGCAAAAAAAAAACGATGTGAAAGGGAGTCAAAAAAGGCGAAAAAGCCTCAAAAAAAGTGACATAAAAAACGCGGTGAAAAATTGAGTAAAGAAAGCGGGAAAAAAGCCAAAAGAAATGCGACAAAAAAGGAAAAAAAATGCATTAAAAAAAGAGAATAAAAAGGGGAAAAAAAAGACGCGAAGTGGGGTTGAAAAGGGCGAGAAAGTCGCATACAAAATAAAAATTCCGTCAAAAAAAGGAGTAGAAAAGCTAAAAAACAAAGCCAGAAGAAACGCCACAAAAAGGCGAAAAAAATTACATTAAAAAAAAGGGGCAACAAAGAAGGCAAAATAACGATTGGAAAAGGGGGTCAAAAAAAGGATGAAAAAAATTCCAAAAAGTGACATAAAAACTCAAAAATCCTTCGAAAAAAGGGAGTAAAAAAGAGATAACAAAGTCAATAGAAAAGCGATAAAAAAGGGAAAAAATCCTATTGAAAAAAGTAGGAACAAAGAAGCCAAATAAACGATGTGAAAAGGTGGTTAAAAAGAGGACGAAAAGGCATCGAAAACTGATATAAAAAATAAAAAATGCTTCGAAACAAGGGAGTAAAAAGGGACAAAAGAAAGCCAAAATAGCGACAAAAAATCCGAAAAA